AGAACTCCCTTCTCCCAAACCAAGAATTATCAGGCCCAAACCATCAGTAATCCTGAGATTAGGAAACTGCTCCAATGGGAAAAGAGCTGATGTAATGAGAGTTAAAAGAAATTAATTCATGTAATCTTAGAGAAGGAAACAGATGTTTAGACACTTAGCATTATGACCCTTACAAGTGAGAAAATAAGAAAAAAGAAATCTAGTTACCAAAGGAAAAGAAATCAATGCAAATTATTGGTGTGTTTATGTCCCAGCCTTATTCCCAGTCAGATCTTAAATGTTTCAAAAAAGATAGCAAGACTTAGATAGAATCCAGAAATTACTGGAAGTTAGAACTACGCATGAGATCACCAAGTCCAGTTCTCTTATTCGCAAAGGCTAAATGATTTGCTCAGGGTCTCACAACTGACTGGAAGAGACATGAACTGAATCTAGTCTTGTCTGCCTGCCTCTAGTATCTTCTCTGTCACCTCACTTATCTAAGTCTTTCTTTATGTAACTTTGTTAATCTACTGTTGTCCTCCAGAATCTCCAGTTGATGGGTAGAAATGTATAGTTTCCCCACTGATATTCTTATTTCTTGTCTGATTTCCTTGCTCAGGTTATCAAGAACAGTGAATCTTTTATCTCTGTCATACCTGCCCCACGGTTGGGAAGGAGGTACACAGTTTAGTATGTCATGATCAGTAGATTGATCATGTATCTATGTGATGCTTTGAAGAAAAGATATTTCACATTGAGGCACAGTGCATGTCACTGAGTGGCCGTGAGTAACGGGTCCATTAGTAAACCCACTTTTATCTAGTCAGAGAATGAGGGAAGCTTTGTCTATAGGGCCTATATTTATACACTGCTAATTATTAAAATTAAAACATAACTAGCCTTTTAAAAATGAAACAAAGACAAAAAACAAAACAAAACAAAAAAATAGTCTCAGGTAATTAACTGCTCAGAATAATCATACAGGATCATTTGACTATGGGGAGAAAAAAGAATTCACTAAAAAAGAAAACTGCTTTCAGGCTTTAAAAAATTTTCTTTGAATAATCAGGCAAGTTTTATTTTCTTGACCAATAATTTTTATAACAATTTTGAAATGAGACACAAGTAAAGATGTCCCTGGGATGGCTGGCTGCAATATCAGAGGTTAGCCTGGAGTATGTTTTTTATGGCAGCATACTAAGAATAAAACCTGGTGTCCTGATGGAATGTTGACAGATTTGTAAGTGCTACCCAGTGAACTGTGTTAATTCCTTATCAAAGTATTTAGAGGTGTTGACTAGTTAATTTGCTGGACCCCTAAGGATTCTTTATGCTGTATTGTTGCCCTTAGGAGATGTATTTGATTGTACAAAAGCCCTTTTTGATTTAGTTTGAAGAGTGGAAAGAGTCCATTCAAGGAAAGGTCTTGGAGTTTGAATGCAAATAAATTTAAAGTGATTTAAGTTTTGGGAACTTTTTAATAAACCGCGTCTTTCTTACATTTGCTTCACTGTGTCCTAAGGTGAATGGAGTACTTTGTTTTGATTTATCCAGCTGCTCTCTTTAATGTGTGTTCTGGACCATTCCCAAGAAGTGCTACAGTGTTAAGTCAGAGCCTGGGTTCTGGGATAGAATCAGAGGTTATAGGTGTCACCCTGCTATACAGTTCAGCCAAAGATTCAGATATCTATCTGTGCTTTGCTACAGTTAAAAACTAGGGACCTTCCCACCCAGTAAAATGTAGATCTTTCTTCTTTTTAAAAAAATTTTTATAACATTTTTTAAATTTTCTTTTTGTAGTTGTAGATGGATAGAATGCGATTATTTTGTTTATTTGTATGTGGTACTGAGGGTTGAACCCAGTGCCTCACGCATGCTCTGCCACTGAGCTACAGCCCCAGTCCTAGATCTTTCTTCTTTAATAAAAAGAAAACCTGGAGAAAAGCCTTCTGTTTGTCATTGTTGCCACTAGAGGACAGAAAGTTACACTTCCTGGTACAGGTATAATTCATTCTAAGAGTGCCATGATAGACCACATTTGCCAATGTTTATCAGTATAGAAATTTATAAAACAATGATGCAAACTAATCAACTAAGGAGCTGCTTAAAATGCAGCTTTCTGGGACCTACCCTCTGCGAGATTCTGATTTCCTTGCTGTGTGAACTTAAGATTTTACTTTGCGAAACACTGACCTCTGAGTTTTTGTCTGATTATCTTTTCTCTTAGGAGGTTAAGAAAAATGATTATTTTGGAGGAAAAAAACAATGAACAGAAACCAACATATAGGGAAACCAGAGTGATGGTTGATTTAAAGGTCTTTCCCTGCCTTTGTCTGATGTGTTTCAAAGGAGACACACTTTGTAAATATTAAGAATCAAAGAAGCTACTAAAAGTTTTTTTATGTGGAGTTATATTTTAATCAGTAAAAACCATAGGATCCTTAGGCAGCAAGTTCCTAAAATTCGTTAATAAAATATCTCTTTTAGGACCATCTCACAGTGCCCCTAATTTTATCCTTTGGGCATCATGAAGGCACCGTGCCTGATATCTTATCATTATAAGATCTGGTTGTGAGGACCTTCTAAGTAGTTTATATAATCCTGTTATCATTTTGAGCAATTATTTTAGGTTGAGTATTCAAAATTCAAGATGCTCCAAAATTTGGAACTTTTTGAGCAGTTATTGGACCACAAATGGAAAATTCCACACCACAAAACTTTGTTCTGTGATCTCTCTCTTTCACCACACACGAGGATATAAGAAACTATTTTTTAAATTGATGGCCAAAAAATCCAGAGTGTCATTTTAAATGTAATTTTGTAAAAACAACAACAACAAAAAATGCTTTTGCAGGACTTACAGTGTTTTTACTATGAACTTTAGTGGTACTTTTACCAGTCTACATATAAATTATTAATCTAACAGTCTCCTAAAGTTTATTTTGATGCTTATATTAATTGTTACTCTGCAAAAAAAAAAAAAAAAAATCCTCCCAGAAGAGGAACCTCTAACCCTTAAGGTAATCCTTTAAGGGTTCAGTAAATTTCCAGTAATGTTAGATTAGCTGCTTAGAAAGCTTATTTATAGTTAAGATTGAAACTGATGATAAAAAGATAATTTGTGTATTATAATCATGGAACACAGAACTTGTGTTAACTTTGTTGTAGAGAATTGCTATGGCTTACATAATTGAATCCTAACAAAATAGATGGGCTGATGAATAGCCAGAGCTCCAAACTCTGTTAGGAAACTGTCAAGGGTAGGAATGACCCTCCCCTCACCTCTCTGCACTTAGGGCATCCAGGAGGAACCTGGGTGATGGGAATCCCTTGACTGGTTCTCTCTGCTTCTGTTTCCCCCTGCACCATGCAAACATGTTTTCTGTTTGTGCTGTTGCATGATAAAATTGGGAAGATTTTGTTCTTGAATTCTTTCTAGTTTCTGGTTTTGGGAATTTTGTGATCAGTTGATCAGTGCCCTTCAAAACATTGCCTATACCTTCTCTTGATTATTAACTAGAAGAACCTCTCATGTAGCAGTATTTCCATTGTCTGCTTTGAAAAAGCAATCATGAACTGTGTAATTCTCTCTGGATTTCTTGCCCACATTGACTTAAAAATAGTTTTGAAGTACATTTAGGCCATCATGTATTTTGTAATACAGTTGGGTCACTGCCGATTCCCAAGATAAATGTGTTTAAACAGAAGCTTTCTCATTCATCATCAGCCTCAGCTTTCATCCACATTTATTTAATGATGATGCAAGCCCACAGCAGTGGTGTTGCAGTTCATCACCATGGAAGTGTTTCTGTCAACAAATCCTCGGTTTGCTATCATGAAATTGATTTTGCAGGGAAAAAGAAGATAATTATGAAAGATTCCTTTTACTTTTTGAAAGACCTTCACAGTTTGCCTGGATGTCTAAATGAATTGTTTAAAATCAATAAATGACAATACATTTGACACCATTAAATTGACAGTTAAGAGGTTGAAAAAGGAAAAATTCCATATTTATGGAATGTGACTTGGGAACCAGGTTTATAATTTAAAATGTTCCTCTGAAAGCTGCTATGTTCTGCTCAGAAGTATGGATTATGATCAGGGAGTCCAATGAGTCAGATATCAGAATTTCAAGGATACTTTAACGGTTTTTATCACCAGCCTTGTAAATGGCATAACAATAAACACAGAGGAAATTGACAGTGTATTTACTTTCCTTTGCTGACACATCACATGAATTTATAAAATAAGATTCTCCTATAACTTACATTTACAACTATCTTTGACTTTTATTTGCTTGTCACAAGGTTTTTTAAAAAACTACATAATTAAATTGTAAGTTTCTGATTGTAGCCTACTTATAAACAGGGTATAGCGGCACCTATATTTAGTAATCCAAACTGTTTTGAGAACCAAATGGTAAAAAGGAACAAGAATAACATTTTCATTTTGAAACAGTGTTGAAAAGCTTATGTTATAGTGGCTAATCCAGATTTGGAAATAGATAGATACATTTGGTAGAAATACGGTCAACTTTTGATTGTCAAAGTAATTTTTGTTTCCAAATGTGCTTTCTGGTTTCCTATCACATTTCAAAACGTTTTGTTTTCACCACCATCTTAGGTATGCTCACTGAAAGCAAATTATTCAGTATTATCTTATTCCCGTATAAATAAACATTTACTGTATTCCCAGTAAATGCTAAGCACTGTGCTCGATATCAGGGATATTGAGATGCATCCCAAGAATGATATTAAATTTGTCCTGAGAGCTCATATAATTCACTTTAAGTCACAAATGAAATTTTTATTTAATTCACTTTGAAGTCACAGAGATAATTTTTTTGAGTATTTCAACTAATTTCTCCTCTTCTAATATGTGATCAGAAGTTGACTGTAAATTAGAAGTAGGTCCTGCTTGATTTTTTTAGCAAGAATTAATAGACATAAGCGGAAAATAAAATTATATTGGACATGCAAATGTGTAACACAAAATGACCAAAAGAAAATTCAGCAAGCAATGGTAAAAATAACAAATTATTTACTGTTTTATGATGTTAAAGTATTTTACCACAACAAGTTGCAGTCAAATTAAAGTGAGTTATGGAAAATGAAATACATAAAAATGTATTTATACAAATGCAGACTAAATATTTCCCATACAGTTATGTAAATGAAAAGATATACAGTAAATGCACACTTGAAATGGCTATGCAGGCAACAATTAGTTTCAGACTCTTGTGTAGTTCATGCACAAACTTCCCAAAGTACAAGTTCAGTCAGTCTTTTGGGGGATGTGGAGGGATGATTAAAAAAGGATTGAGTTCCTTGCAAGAATATCAGTATGGACTGGATGAGGATGAGGGTGGTCAGTTATATATATTACTTACTGTAATTTGTGATTGTCGAGGAAGAGGTGTAGCTGTTGGTGTGATAGTAATACTGCTGGTGACTTTATTGGTTGTTTTGTTTAGTGCCCCATTAGTTAAACCTTGAGTTCGGTTATCCTGCAGTGGTGTTGAAGGGCTGGCAGGTCTCATGGGGCTGGCCACAGCTTGCATGTAAGGACTTCCTAAGTGAATGTGGATTTTATTATCCTCAGTAGTTATCACACTTGAACTATTACTGTTTGCACGTTGAAACTGCCACGATGACTGCCGGTCTGGGGAGACTCTGAAAATCGTGTGCTTGGCACTGATTTCTATTGGCTCTGGGGAGCGTCCCTGCTCAGGAGAGCTAGCTGAACCAGTCATAGCCAAAACCTGAATAGGTGACATTGTCCTTTCTGGAGTTATAGAACCACAAGACTCTGGGGTCTGTGCTCTGGCAAAGGTTGCCATGGCAATTGGGGACATACCTTGATCTAAATTCTGGAGGCCTTCAGTAGAGGTTTTGGACTTCATTGGTGTTATGGAAGCATTTTGGAGAATGGTTATCCTCTGTTTTGGGGTGCCACAGTTTGGTATCACTGCAGTGCTTGTGTAAGAGTGAGGGCTCTCTGTAGTTGGACTTGTGATTTCAAGAGTGGCTGTATTTTGGGCATGGTCTGGCGTAACCTTTATATGAAGCGGCTGTCCAGGTGTATGGCTTAGGACTAGATCTCCAGGTTGCATGAAGTTGCCATTGGGTTTAGTTTGTATTTTCCCATTCTGAGGATGGCTCTCCTTGGATTTCATCCAAGGAATCCATAGCTTCCTGTTCACAGGAAGGGGAGTGGACGTGTTGCATCTGAAGGACAGCACAGATTCCTCCTCATTATGGTCCTCATCTTGTTCCTCACTCTCCTCGTACAGCTGACCATTAATGACTGCTCTTTCCAGAGGAATGAGACTCTTGTAATCTGGTGGCTCATTGTCTACTGCTTCTGTTTGAACTTCTTTAGAAAATACTTGAGGGTCAGAGATTCTTCTTCCATTGAGACTAGGACGGAGGCTCTTACTACAATGCCGGTACCTCTCTAACTCTTTAGTGAGGTTTTCGATCTCTCTTCCTAAATCTCTGTTCCTGTTTTCTTGTTGATTTAGTTTCTTTTGCAGAATGGAGTGATCTCCCTGGAGGTGACATATTAGGTCCTCAGTTGCCATGTATTCATGAATTTTCTCTTTTAATGCATCCACTTCTCTCGATAGATGCCCTGATTTAGCTTCTTCTTCTTGAAGCCTTTTGAAAAGCCATTGTTCATGGCTGGACTCTGTCTTTTCTGCCAACTTGTACTTGGTAAGTTCCATTTTAACCTGCTCTAGCTCTTCAGATAAAAATTGAGCTTTTTCTCGTTCATTAGCATACCTTCGTTCCAGAGTCTCATATTCATCTTCTGTTTTCATGAGGTCATCCTCAATGGCTTTCATATCCTTTAGCTTTAGTTTCAGTCTTTCCACTTCTTGGGAGAGTTCTTTAATCTTATTGTTTTCTTGGTGTAAAGCTGTTGTGGACTTACCAGAGTCTTTGTTTTTTAGGAAATCTTTCTCACTTGCTTCCAATGATTGAAGCCTGTTTTTCAACATATTGACTTTTGACAAGAGATCATTTCCTTTCTCCTCTTCTGCTTTCAGTTTGTTTTTTAGATCATCTCTTTCCTTGGTTACATTGAACATCTTTTCTTCCACATCAGTTTTGGACTTGAGTGCCCTTTTAGTTTCCTCAATTAACTTCTCAGTAACTGTTGTTACTTTGTTCTGCTCCACTTGAAGCTGGGAAGAAGCAGCTTGTAATTTATCTTCCGTTTGCTTTAATTTTTCGCTCATTGTTTTCCGTTCATCCACAAGCATCACAGTTAATGTTTTCAGTTTAGTCAAATCCTCCTTCAGAGTGAATTCTGTCTTTTCCAGCCTACTTTCAATGGCTTCTAGCTCTTTGATCCTCACTTTTAAACTCTCTAGTTCCTGAGACAACTGCTTTGTGGTTGTCCTTTCTTTTTCTAAGTTGCATTTAAGAGAGTAGCATTCTTGTTTGCTTTTGTTGAAAGCATCTTCTAATTTTTCCAGAGTCATAATCCTTTTATTGAGCTTTTCAACTTCTAGTTTAAAGTCTTTACTCTGTGCTGTTTCCTTCTCAAGCCTCTTATTGAGATCTCTGCACTGTTCCTCCATCTTTATGAGCTCTTCATCTTTTCCTTCCATGTCTAGCACACGCTTCCTGAGCTCCTCTACCTCAGCCATTATGCCAGCATTTCCATATTCTCCCTTATTGATTTTTTCTTTTATATCTTGCAGCTCCTCTTCTGCTTTTCTTAAAGATCTGTTTGTCTCTTCTAACTCATCAATTTGCCGACTGAGTGCTGCCAGCTTTTGTCGAAGCTGGCGATTTTGACTGTCCTCATTGGTGAGCTTTGCCATAATTTCGTCTTGGTTCTGATGAAACTTTGTGGTCTGTGTTTGCAGTTCTTTCTCTAGTCTGGTTGCCTTCTGCTCTTCTTCCTGAACTCTGGCTTCAGCAAGAGTTAGTTTAGCATGTGTTTCCTGTGCACTTGTGGTCAGGTCTTGAATTTTCTGTCTTTGAAGGGTGAGCTGTGCTGTAAGCCTTTGTTGTTCGTCCACCACCATCAAAGCAAAAGACTTCAGCTTGGTCAGCTCCTCTTTCAGGGTGGTGACCCTCTTTTCCTTTTCTTGCTCCTTTTTCTGCTGGGACTCGGTTTCTTGACCAATCAGCTTCTTTAATCTGAAAAATACAAGAGTGCATTCTAATTTGTGATTGCTGCTTTAGTAACTCATATCTATGATTAAACAGTTATGTAATTTGAAAAGATTGTATCAGTTCACATGGAATGTGGGAAGGAGTTCCTGAATTTGATGAGGGAAAGAGAATCTTGTTAAAGAAATATCTTGCTTTTGGGTTAACTACCATTGATTAGTAACAGTAGTAGCTTACCAGGAGCCTTTATGGAAAAGACAAGAATATTTGTTTTAAATTGCCGTGTAACAATCAGAGAGGGCAGTCCAGCCTGATGCCTGTGAAAATGGATATGAGCTTGAGATTCAGTTAGACCTGGCTTCAAGATTGGCCCTACTCTTGCCAGCTGCTTTAATGAACCTGGGCAGTTATTTAATATCTCTGAGGGTCAATTTTCTCATATGAAAAATGAGAACAATCACTTTATTTACCTTAGGGGCTTTTTGTAAAAATTAAATGAAGTGATTCATCTAAGATTATTACAGTCCTGGAACAAGGTAAACATTTGATAAATATTGCTGTTGTTCTTGTTTTATTAATTATGATTCCTATATTTATTAAATGGTTTGCGTGAATCATTAAAATGTGTGATATAGTGATATTTAGTGTTCACTCCCTGATTCTTAGTTAAGATAAAATTTTATTCACATTGCTTAGAAGTTATGCATTTTATTGATGGACTGCTCTGCCAATTAAAGCTTGTTTTGCACTAGCATGTCATTATCTGAGACCCACTTCACGTATACCTTTTTCCTCCAAGTTAATGATAGTTTAATGAGGGAAGTTGAGGCATCTGAACCAAGCTTGAGGGTTTTCATAACATATGGGAAGAGCAAGGAATTTGGAAGGAAAGAGCTTTTTGATGAGAATCCAATACTAGAATGATGGACAGGAAACTATTATCAGGATCATAGTGATTCCCTCTTAAATGAAGACTATTACTCCATGCTATTTTTTCTTTTAAATTTATCTGCATAACAGGAAAGCATTTCACATGCAGAATAAACTGTCTCTTCCACATGTTTAGTAACTTCAGTAGGGAGATTGTAGTTTTAAATTTGTGGCTCTGTTAATTGCACTGGGAATGGGCTGATTATAGAGGATGTAATTACGGTTCTGCAGTATTGTTATACAGAAGCTAAAATAGAATGGAATCCCTGAGGAATTTAAAGGACTTGACGTGGATGAAAACAGTATTTGCTTTCTGATCAAGACTAAAGTGTTCATAATGTTAATAAATCATTTCTATTAGGAATGAGTTAATTATTCCAATGCATGTCTTTTATCCTTGTCACAGAACTTTTTGTAAGTTAAGAATTTGAGAGGACATTTGAAAAAGAAACTAATCTAGGGAAGTCTTGGAAATAAAGAGTCATTTTTGAGATCTGAATCTTCTCTTTTCTGTAATTATACTACACAGGAGGAACATGTTTAAAATAACTGTGTAATGTAAGAATTCCCAAAGTCTTTTGTGGGGAGGACCCACTTTTAGTTTTTCCTGTTTTGAGAACCCGACAAGAGACTAGCCCAGGGGCTGTAGCCTGTGAACTTCAGAAGACTAGGCAGGATGCTGGGGTGGGGTTGATGATCTCATCTAGGGTATTGGTAAGAGGCTTGCTCATAGCTTCTGGCTGCTCCCCACTCTGTACTTGAGAAACCTGGGAGTCTGAGAAGAAAAACATGGTATCTTCTTCCTGAATGGTTGTGGGATCTAGTGGCAGAGTCCACAGGTAAAATGCTTTGGTGGTGAAATAATTACAGAAACTTTGGCAAAGAGCTTCTTCCTCCTGCCTTAGCATCAGCATTGGATTTAATGGTCTTGACAATGCATTGATCATAACTTCACTGAAATAGTTTACCCTTGCTACACCCCAGTTGCTTACAGTTTTATTACAGAATAGTTTCATAGATTTCTTTTAAATTTATTAAATAATAGCATGCACTGCTTTTTCTTTCTTTTTTATTTTATATGTGTGTGCGTGTTGGGTGGGGCTAGAAATCACACTCAGGACCTTGCTCATGCTACATGCAAGAGCTCATGCAAGAGCTTTTCCAACCAAGCTACACCTCAGCCCCACTTTTCATTTTTATGAGAAGGGGATGTGTTTTCTTAAGATGTAAGGGCAAGAAGATTATTTTCAGTATAATAAAATGAGCACTAATGGAATAGTGATTAGTAAATCTGGGCAGTGCAGTAGCCAGCGAAAAGGTTTTGAAGATGTTTCATTTGTTTCTGTTGTGTTCATTGTTTTGGGGAGCAGGCATAATGCATCTTTTTCAGCGTGATGAAAGGGTGATGCAACTTTTTCCTGGGTTTTGTAAACTGGCTCCCACCACCATCTGCTCCCCAAGTTCCATCTTACAAGGTAGTCATATAAAACTGGCGATTTTTTAATTTGTTCTAATTAGTTATACATGACAGTGGAATTCACATTGACACATCATATATAAACAGTATAATTTCTCATTTTCTGGTTGTACATGATGTAAAATCACACTGGTCAGGTAGTCATATATGTACATAGGGTAATAACTTCTGATTCATTCTACTATCATTCCTACCCCCATACCCTTCCCCTCCCTTCCCTTCACTCCCCTCTGCCTAATCTAAAAATACTAACAATTTGAGTACATTTGCTCCAACTGTTTTCTCATTCCTTGTTTCCCAGTAACTTCACTATTTCCCATGGGACAGTCAGCAGCCTAGTCTACTAAATCCTGTCAGGAAAGGAAGTAGGGGTTTATTTGGGGTGGGGGTGGTGAGGGGGGTTGGACACAAAACAAAAAAACTATACCCTCAGCAATCAACTCCAGAGCTTGGGGCCAGGAACTAGTGGGAACTGAGGGCAGGAAACCCTGACAACCTTTTTAGAGACTTTTGGCTGTGTGTAGTGATGGCTGGATACATGTGTGAGAGAGGATGAGAGAAACCACTCCTGATAGTTGGTGAGTGGGCTAAGACTAAGTCACTATTTCTTGTGTTATATCAGGAACATTTGAAGGTTAAGTTTGAGGTGAGTTTAGGGTCTTGAAGAAAATATAGGGTGAGTAGAAGCTCCTAAGTTGAAGTTGAAGCTCCTAAGCCTAGCTTCCTTCTTTAAGTAGAAATGATTTGAGATAAAATAGTAACTAATCTGTCTCCATTATTCTTTTTAATTAATTAATTAATTTTTTTAGTTGTTGATGGACCTTTATTTTTTATTTATTTATATGTGGTGCTGATAATTGAACCCAGTGCCTCACACATGCTAGGCAAGTGCTCTTCACTGAGCCACAACCCAGCCCTCTCCATTATTTTTGTTAGCAAATTAATAGGGTTTTAGCATTGATATGACTGACAGATTATCATGACCTCTGGATTTGCTAGCAAACACAGATAAATGATTTTGAGAGCTTTTAACCAGGGTTCTCATAATCTTGAAAGTAGCATGGAATCTTGAGATGCAGAACTCTCCAGACCTGAAATCCATTTCTTTAGAGCTGTGTATGGAGATTATGACTCCTTTTCCCATTAATAGTTCTGATTAAAATGCCATTATACAGGAATGTTATATTATCTATGCCATGGTTTTTCCAACCTCAGCACTACTGACCTTTGGAGCCAGATAAATTCTTATTGTGGAGAGCCATCCTGGGTACTCTAAGAAGTTTAGCAGCATCCTCCAATGATAACAACCAGAATTGCCAGTCTTCTGGGAGCAATATTGCCTTCAGTTGAGAACCACTGATCTGTTTGTGTGTGTGTGTGTGTGTGCGCGCGCGCGCATGTGGTGCTTTACTACATGCATATATGTTTATATATAAGCCTGTCATTAAAATTTGCAATCCATCATCCTGCCTTATTCAGCTTTACTTAAGGAGGTGTAACATAAAGTTCCGATCTGAGTTATATACACTTAGTGATTCTATCTGCCCTTCTAATGATATGTTCTTTATCAGTGTTTCTCACATTTCAATGTAATTTGAATCACCTGGAATTTTGTTACACTACAGATTCCAATTCAGTAGGTCTGGGGTAGGTCCCAGATGATGCCAGGTCTGCTGGCCTTTGGACTGACTACAGATAGCAAAAATTTACTATTTACCTGTCAGATACTTCCTGAAAATGAGACCTTTGGTTTCAAAAAGGTAAGGAAGGAGCAAAGCCTGTGTTGTTTCCCCATATCACATTGCCTCTCCAACTCCAAATGTAAACCATTGCCTGAGACTGTTCCCACATATAAGGTGTCTATCAAGGAACACTCTCAGAGTGGAGAAACTGTCAATCTAAAGAACAAATTTTATTTATTTCTGTTTTTGTTTTTTTTGTTGTTGTTGTTTGTTTGTTTGAAGCTAGGAAAGTTTTTACACATTTTGAAAATACCATCTCCATGTTTTTAATTCAAGGTTTTACTGGTTACAAAAGATATTTTCATGTCTGACATGATCTAAATGTCCTCATTAACAAATCAAACAGCCAAATCAGTCATTCTTTCATGAAGAAAATCTGACTTCAACTTAAGTAAATATGTAAATACACATTCCTCTAGCAACCATCTCACTTCCAGACATAGGAACTTGCCCTGAACTACTTTGAAGACAAAGCAGTATTCCATCCAGTGTTGGTTCTGAGCAACCCTGCTGCTGCTCTCCTGGAACTCTAAGAGTTAAGGCTTGCTTTCTTTTTTATTTTTTCATATAGTTTTTGGTATTGGGGATTGAATCCAGGGTGCTTTACCACTGAGCTACAACCCCATCCTTTTTTGGTTTCTTTTTTTTTTTTTTTAATAAATTTATGTATTTTTTAGGTGGTGCTAAGAATTGAACCCAATGCCTCACATGTGCAAGGCAAGCACTCTACCCCTGAGTCACACCCCTAGCCTCTTTTTTTTTTTTTTTTATTTTTAAGCAGAATGTCACTAAATTGCTTAGGACCTGGATAAGCTGCTGAAGCTGGCCTTGAACTTGTGATCCTACTGTCTCAATTCCCAGGTTGCTGGGATTACAGG